CCCCGACAGGCCTCCCACAAAATCCCGAGGAACATCCTAGAGACGTATGACCCACAACCCCAGCACGGTGGCTGGAGTGGCCGAGGGCCAGTTCCCCAGCCTGCTCTAATGATTTCGCCATGCAGTGCACAGCGAATGTCCTTCTGAAGGGTTTTGGTTTTTCGGAAGACCTCTCCCTCGGATCTCCACAACATATTGAAATAGAACCATCGCGCGCGCTTCGCGCGCGCTCAAGTTCTCGCTAGGCTTGATGCTCGAATCCATGGAATATCATTATTGTCGTTTCTTGCATCTGGGGACTCTCTTGGAGGCCCTGCGAAAGCCTCGGAATCGTATAGAAGAGGAACTGCGGAAACGCAAAAATCATTGATTGAAGTTCGGTACTCAACGATCTGGGGCCCTTGAAGGCGTCCTGGGTTCTTTTCTGGAGCCTTAATTGTGGTCTGCTGTGCAAGAGTACACAGGGGGGCGGACTAGGGAAAATATGGAATGGTGGGATTTCCTTCTGTTCAAGTTGTGGTGCCTGGGCTGTGGGTTTTCTGCATGCAGGCCACGGTCTGTTGGGATGCCCCACGGGGTCTTCGTGCAGAAGTAAGCAGGGGGCGAGTTTGAACAAAAATATCTAACATTCTACAACTCATGGGATTATGGGATCTTCATTTCTACAATGGTTTCAGGGGCAGCCAAGAGGACACGAAGACGATCCGAGAGAGTGCCAAGACAGCGTCAGAGAGTTCAACAGTATTGCCGAAACAGTTTTGCATGTGACCCAGAAGTCTTGATGGGGCCCGAGGAAGAGGATAGGGAGTAATTAGGAGTCCCAACTTGAAAGAAGAGGAATCTGTGGAAATCCTTTTTATTCAAATTCCTCGGTCTTGGAGCGTTGGAAGCGGGAAAACGTGAGAAGGCAAAACAAGTCGACAAAACCAACTGGAAAACAACGATTTTACCCTCTTGGGGCCGTCTTGGCCCGTCTTGGGGCCATCTTGGGGGCCTCTTGGGCGGTCTTGGGGGCCTCTTCGGCCGTCTTGGAGCGTTGGAAGTATGACATGGTGAGAAGGCCAAACGCCCCCAACAACAAAAAACAACAATTAACGAGTTGAGGTTCTGGTGCTGTCGGAAGGCCTCTCGGAGCTCTCTTGAGGTCTTTTGGAGGCCGCCTTGGAGCTTGGGGAGCCGCCCGACAGCTATCCTGGGTTGCTTGGGAGCGTCTTGGGCAATTCTTTGACGTTCTGGGGGCTTCTTGGGCCCGGGTCGACTTGGGCTGTCCTTGGGCGTTTTGGGTGCTCCCCCGGCGGGAGCGTTCCGCAGATGTTCCGGGAAGGTGTGGGACCCCCGGGAGGAGGGGGCGTGCATTTGTTGAAATTAAAAAAAAGAATTATTTTTTCCTTAAAAAAAATCATCGGTCTTGGAGCGTTGGAAGCCGGAAAACGTAAGAAGGCGATACAAATCGACAAAAAACACTGGAAATCAACGGTTTTACCCTCTTCAGGCTCTCTCGGGACGGCTCTCGAAGCTCTCTTGGGCTGTTTGGGGGGCCTCGTCGGAGCTTTTTGGAGGGCCTCTCAAGGGTCGGGGGTGTGTTGGAGGCCTCTGGGGGTCCCGGAGTCCTCTCGGAGGTCTCTGGCGGCCTCCTGTTCCCGCTCTTGGGCTCATCTTGGGCCTGTTCTGGGGTGGTCTGGAGCTGTCCTGGGCGCCTCTTCGGCCGTCTTGGGGCCGTCTTGACCCGTCGTGGGGCCGTCTTGGGGGCCTCTTGAGCGGTCTTGGGGCGGTCTTGGGGGCCTCTTCGGCCATCTTGGAGTGTTGGAAGCATGAAATGGTGAGGAGGCCACACACCCGGAAACAAAAACAATGAAAATTATCGATTTGAGGTTCTCCGGGCGCTCTCGGGAGGCCCCTCGGATTTCTCTTGAGGTCTCTTGGAGGCCTCCTGGGAGCCTGGGGAGCCGCCCGAAAGCTATCCTGGGTTGCTTGGGAGCGTGTTGGGGAATTCTTTTACGTTCTGGGGGCTTCTCAAGGTCGTCTTGGTCTGTCTTTGGGCATTGTGGGGGCTCCCCGGGAGGCCAGGAAGCGCGGTACCGGGAGCGTACTCGAGATGTGAGCGAAGTGGAGGACGCCCCGGGAGGGAGCCCGGCGTATTTGTTTATATTATACTAGAACCCCGCGCGCGCGCTTCGCGCGCTTGGGTTCTGGCGCATGCCATGGCGTTGTTAGCTGTGAGTGCTTTTCGGACTGGCTATTCCATGCCTTGCCCCAATATTCCTCATACGTTCTTCCTCGTTAGCCATCCAGTCTCTCTCGGTTGTCCTCGCTTTTTCTTCCTCGTTCTATGGACGGCCTCCTCTTGTTTGGGATTATGCGGGGCCTTCGAGCTGTTCAGGGCCTGCATGGGGAGATATTGAATATCAAGTGGAATGGCTTGGAGTGTAGGGGTCTCTTGGGGATCTTCCTGTTCGGGCTGCCTTGAAGGCCTGGGGCCCGCTTGGGGCCCTCTTGGGCTCTTCTTCGAAGTTATGGAGCCGTCTCGAGCCTCGGGGCCATGTGAAGCTCTCCCGACGCCATCCGAAGGAGAAAAGCGCGAGATGCACTGACTATGGAGAAGTATGGCTCTCTGGGGTCATTTTTGGGGGCCTTTTAGAAGCTCCACAGGGGCATCTTGTGGCCCCTGGAGGGCGCCTTGAAATATCTTGGAGAATCTTGGGCCACCGAGGGGCCATCTTGGCGGCCAGCGGGCGTCCTCCTGAATCAGCTCGGAACCCTCTTCAGGCCGAACAAAAATCGCCCAAAGACCACAAGGCGGATCCCGGAGCCCAGGGGGGGCCAAGTTGGTTGCGACGGGAGGAGTTTGAGAAAAAGGGGGCCACCCCAAGGCCAGAAACCCGGTCGTCGGTGCACAGAGCAAGGTGGAGTCATAGTACACTGGTTGGTCCATGAATGGACGAACTGAACACGTGGCGGGGGGTTACGCCGCACTCACAAAGACGTACACTATGAGAAATGATTGCGCATTCCCCATGGGAAAGGCGAGTAACACGAGGAGGAGGAGGAGGAGAAGGAACTGGAGGAGGGAGGAGGGATGTGAGAGGAGTAAGGCGGGAAGAAAACGAAGGAACGGGGGAGAAGCAGGGGCAACAGGCGCTGGACGTTCCAGCGAAAACCCTCGAAACACGAGTGGGGGGGGGGGGGGGCAAAGTCGAGATGGTGACGCCAAGCCCCCCATCGTTATCATCCTCCTTCACTTCCGTTTTCTCTCCTGTTCCTCCTGCTCCTCATCATCCTCCTATTTCACCATGCTCAAAAAGGCCCGAATAGCCAACATGATTCCACGCAGCATGGAGTGACGAGTAAAATTATACAACGAGGGCAACCAATTTGTAACGGAGCCAGCTCACGAGTCGCCTTCTCATATTACATGCAGTGCCTCCGCGAACTTATCTGGTCGATTGCCCAAGGATGTGCGCGCAAGGTGGAGCGACCAACTCTTGAAAGTAAAGAAATGCATCTAGTTCACTGCGCATCCGCACAAAATCGCGCCCTCTGCAGTTTGCCCCATGGCTCCACGGCGCCCTGATCCAGAGACCGCCTCAAAACGGCCGCCAGACGCCGTAAGCCCGTCCAAACACGGCCCAGCGGACTCTGTTGGCCCTCTCTTGAAATCCCCCGTTGGGACTTCTTGGGGCCCTCTTGGGCGGACCCTGGAACCTCTGGGGCCGTTCTTGGGGTCCTCTTGGGCCGTCTTCGGAGCCTAGGAGGAGGGGAAGGAAACAAACGATTGTCTCCGCAGCAAGCAGATAAAATCCTAGGTTGGGAAAGAGATCGAGGTGAACAAGAGACCCCCCGCCAAGAAATCGTTTTCGGTTTCGTGTTCGTGTCGTGCGTGTGGGCGAGGCGAAACTGCATCGGCGGGCGAGAGGAATGAACCCGCCGTGATTAAGGCAAAACTGGGCCAAATTTTGCTGCGCCGCCCAGTTGGCCAGCGGTGACCCGGGGGTGTCCCGCGGTGTGATAGAATCCGAGGCTGGGAAAGAGATCGAAATGAACAAGAGACCCCCAGCCAAGAAATCGTTTTCAGTTTCGTGTTCGTGTCGCGCGTGCGGGCAAGGCGAAGCTGCGTCGGCGGGCGAGAATAATGAAACAGATGTGCTTACGGCAAGACTGGCCCCAATTTTGCTGTGCCCCCCGGTTGGACAACGGTGGACCCGGGGTGTCCCACGGTGTCCCGTGGTGTCCCCCCCGATTGGCCAGCGGTGGCCTGGGGGTGTCCCGCGGTGTCCCGTCGTGTCTGGTGCTATGCGATGCTGTGCTATGCTATGCTATGCCATGCTGTACAATGCTACGCTATGTTATCAATGCGATGCTAAGCTATGTGGTGTGATGCGATGCCATGCGATGCTATGCTGTGCGATGCATATGCTACGCCAGACTGTGCCATACGATGATCGGAGGTTGGGGGGGTGAGATCTCATTGGAACGGAGACCCCCAACCCGGAAATCGTTTCGTTTCGTTCGTGTCGTGCGTGCGGGCGAGGCGAAGCTGCGTGGGCGCGCGAGAAGAATGAACCCGCCGTTGCTAGGGCGAAATCAAGACAAATGATTCTCCCCCGTCCGTCCGCCTGGCGGTGGCCCTAGCGGTGTCCCGCGGTGTCCCGTGGTGTCCGCCGTTGCTAAGGCGAAGTCAAGACAAATGATTCTCCCCCGTCCGTCCGTCCGGCGGTGGCCCTAGCGGTGTCCCGCGGTGTCTCGCGGTGTCCGCCGTTGCTGGGTCTCCAAGATGCCCCAAAGAAGCTTCTAGGGGGGCCCAAGACGCCCCCAAGAATGCCAATACTAACTGATCTTCACTATGCCGTTCAATGATGCTGGCGTTCTTGCGCCTTCTGGCTCCACACGGCCTCACATAGCCCAAAGAGCCTTCACAATGACGCCGGATCAACCCCAAGAAGCCACGAGCATGTCCACATACAGCCCCGAGACGATTCAAAATTGCCTCCACAACGGCTGCCCCGGCTCAGGACACACTCCGAGACGGCGAATATTGCCCCCGAGAGGCCAGGATTTTGCATGGACGCCCCCCCCCCCGCCTGTTGGCCTCCCAAAAGTGGGGCAACACAGCAAAAGGGCAGACGAGTTGCGCGCCCGCGCCTCTGCAGGAGGATGCAAAGAACTCAGGAGAGGAACTGCCTGAAGACATCAGCGTTCTGAGAGACTGAGTACTCACCCTGCGCTGCCGTAAAGTTGGTCTGGCACCCTGTCAATCCCAATTCATTTGCAGCCATTCCATTGTTCCCCACCGTGCGGTATATCGGAAAATTAGCGAAAGCACCATATGTTTTTTTCGCGAGCTCAGCATTCGTGTCACCAGGCAGGGCAGCCTCGAAATTAGACGTTGAGGTCAGGTAAATCAGCAGAACATCCACCTCGAAACCACCTGATATTCCCCACCATGCGTGCGGCAACACCTCGCAATTGAACGAACACACGGCTGGCTTGCCTTCGTCTCGCAAGTTTGCGAGCCTGCGAACCACGTCAAGCAACCGGTCCTTGCTGAAGACCTGATTGTGCGCTTGGTGGGACCCGAGGGTGTTGTAAGGATAACCGAAGAGGGTTGACAGCTGTTGGGTTACATCCGCGGCGTCGGGGTCAAACGTCGCCGGGGTGGCGCCTGCGAAGTCGTAAGAAGTGCTGAGCTCCACATGTGAGGACGCGATCCACACGACTTTCCTCGCGCCCCGCTGCAGCAATGCCAGGAGCCCCGAATTGTCCACAATGCCGCCGTCCCCGTACTCGTAGCGCAGGGCAGACTGTGGACCTGGCTGGACGGACGGGTCCAAGACCGGCCAGTCAAGTGCCTGCGGGTTGAGAGACTTGCCGAGAACTGCGCTGCCCTCCAGCACACCGCCGACGGCAAAACTGGAGATGCCCACCGCAGCAGCAAGGGACATTGGTTTGCCCACGGGGTAGCCTACAGCGGCCCTGCCGCCCGTTTGCTCGCTCGTCGCAGGCGCCCCCCCTCCGAAGGCGAACGTCTCCACGAACCCGCCGCCGACGACCAGGCGCGCGCCGCAGCACGAGCACGGGCATCGGCAGCTTGGCGGGCAGCACATGTACCCGCACGCGCACGGGTACAGCACAGCCTCGCCGTTGGGGTAGAAAGGACGGCCGGTCCAGTCCGGCGACACCTGCAGCGCGACCGCGCTGTCTGCCCCCGCGTAATACCCGACAGGGGCAAGCCAAGTGCCGTTCATCACGAAGCATGCGGGGCGGTCGGGCCGTGGGGTGAGAAGATCTTGTCTGCAAGGATGGGGTTGTCGGCGACTATGCGGTTCTTGTCGCTCTCGCTCGCCGCGAGGAAAGCTTCGAAACTGCTCAGCCCGAACGGTTCAAGAAGCCATTTCGCGACTGTTGCCTGCCATAACTCTTCTAGTTCATATTTGACAGAGTGCTCCGCAGCGATCAAAGTCGCATCTCTCGTCATGACGGCGCCGATGGGCGCTGGCTCCTGGTTAAGCACGGCCATGGAAAGTTCGGAGGGACTTGCTGCCTTGCACAGCATTTCGCTGGTGCTGATTTCGGAGCCGTTGTACGTCTTGCCGAACATAAAAATAGAGGCAAACCACGTGCCTCCGGACACTGAGCTGATAGAGTCGAACATCGAGAGAAGCCCACATTCGCTCAACCCTCTGAATATCCCTAGAGTGAATGACATCGCCTGGCTGCCACCGCCACTTGCGCATATCGCCCGCATGATGTTCGACTGCGATGGTGGGACGGAGGGGTTGCCGGTGTTCACCCGGACAACGGTGGCGGTAAGCTTTTCCGAGCTTCCGCCGATCGGCTCGTAGGCGAGGCACTTGCCACCGACAGGCCCGCAGGCTTGGCCCATCGCTGGAACAGGAGAAAGCAACGTGGGGTTCCCGGGGCGGTCAAACAAAAAGACTCGGGATGATCCGCTTGAGCCAAAATGGCTACGGACCCCTCAAAGCAAGCGATAATGATCCGAAAACACCGGAGACGCCCGCACGATTGTTCAAAAAAAAAAATCCGCCGTAGCCTGAGGATGCAGCCATGAGCCCCCCGAGACATGCGGGAAACCACAAAAAGCCTCCAATGATCTCCTCCTCCGTCTTCTCCTTGGTCTCCTCCTCGTTACCCTCCTCGTCCTCCTTGGATTCCCGTTCGAAGGCTTTTCGAACCACGGGGCTCTCTTTAGTAGCACGCTCGGAAGCCTCTTGGGAGCCTTACAACCTTCCCGAAATCTCCGAACACCTCCTGTATCCTCGAGGGTAATCTTCCGGGGTCGGCAGCGGCCACAAGGTCTCCGCAATCGATCCCTGGACCCCTCTCTGGGGTCCAAACGCATCAGACTGTCCGAGCTGCGTCCGGCCGTGGCGCCGACGGGACCCCTGGGGAGCCAACTGCCGTTGTCTCAACTGGCCCTCCTCTGCCATCCCGCGCCCTTGCCGATCTGGCGTCTGCGAACCTCCGCTCCTCCTGGACGCCCACCTGTACGGCGCGCTCGATGCTGGGCGCGAAGACGCAGAAGCCCAACGACTGGTTCGTGGAGGTGTTCGGGGAGCTGCCCTGGGAGCGCCCGGCTCCGGAGCGGGCCGCGGACGCTCCTCGTGACTGACGCTCCTCGGCCCCCTCCCTCCGGGTCGGACGACAGGGGGGGCGAAGGGGGGCTGGCGACTCTGATCGCGCAGCTGCCGTTCCCCGGCGCCTCGCGGCGAGCGGGACGAGCCGGCGTGCCGAGGAGAGCGCCCAGCGGCGGGGCCGAGACCCGCTGCGTGCAGCAGACGGCGTGCCCCCCCAAACTGCAGGGGGGCCTCCCACATGGGGTCCGAGCAGATGGGCCCCGAGACTCGAGACGCCTCGCCGATGTATCGTCGATGCAACGGCGACGTCGGCGCGGAGAACATCGGGCTCCACATCGAACCGCATCGCCCATGCATCGGCGACGCGGCGCGATCCTCCAGCCGCATCTACTCGGGCCCCGTCTGGGAGGCCTCGACTTTCGCAATGCTCCCCCTCTCTCGTCCAGCCCGACCCTGGAGGGAGCACCGGAAGGGAAGCGGGCTGCGGACGCTCCTCGTGCCGCTCATCGGAGCTCTCCCTCGCGGGGGAGAACGACGCCGCCCCAGGAGCACTTGGAGCATCCGGCGCCCCCCCCCCTGCCCCGCACTAAGAGCCCGCGCGCGAGCAGCAGGAGCTCTCGAGAGTGTTCGAGCGCATCGATCATCGTGACAAGCTTTGAGAGTCGGGCCGCCCAGCTTCGCGCCCCGCGCCAAGCGGTTATCCTCGCGCCCTGACTTGCCGCTGCCCTGGAAAACAGCGCCGCTCCAACTCAAGCAGCGATTCGCAGAGCGAGGTCATCTTCGCGCCCCTGCGGGTGACCTAGCTCTTCCTCCTCTGATTTTCCTTCCCCTCCACATCCTCCAATGCAGTCACAGGGAGGAGAGGAGGGAGGAGGAGAGGAGGGAGGAGAGAAGAAGAGGTGGAGGGTGAGGGGGGGGGAGAAGGAGAGAGGAAGGAGGGGGAGGAGGGGCGACCCTTACACGAACCCCAGTGACTGCACTGGAGCTCCCCCCCTGCTTGGAACGAAGGGTCGCAATGCGGTGCCCGATCCGCCCGCACCGAGGAATGGCAGGCCGCGGGCGCGGCGCGACCGGTGCAAGAGCGGCCGCGGATTACCGCGGCCTGGGCAGGAAGTATGAGTACGTATGATGATAACTGCGATGACGATAACGGTGATGATCCTCCTAACATGGTAGGCGCCCGGTGCACAACCCATACACGTCCGAAAGCAAGGATAGGATCAAACCTCATCACTCTAACGAGGGCGGGGCCGTGCGGCGGCAGCCACGGCTCCACGGCACGATGCGGATGATTACCACGGTGATGATGGTGCTGGTGAAGAGGGATAATCAGGAGGAGTAGATGAGAACAGAAGAGCCCAAACCTGTCGCCTGAATCGTATCCACCGCTGCCAAAAACCAGCGTGGCTTGGAGTGTGACTGAGTGTAAAGTGGGATTGGAACTGCGCCAGGCAGCCTCCCAACCCCCGTAGCAAGGGAGATGGAGAACAGATTCCCTAATGCCACTAACCTGGAGTCGAGAAGCGTCAATTAACCACCTCACCGGTCCTGGGTAGTCCTGGGCCCAGGATCGGTGTAGACGTGAGGAGCCCACGGAGGACGTACGCGCTCACCCACGTACATGAACACGCCCCCCCAATCCGCGAGACTGGCCGCGACCAGCCGCGTGATACGAACTTTCGCGCAATACGTATTATCGAAACCAATGTGGATTCATTCATATACGTGAGTGCACGTCCTTCTCTCGCTCCTGAATATCCCCCCTGATCATCCCCCTCATGCTCCTCCCCTCCCCCTGGATCCTTCGCCTCGCCCTGCACCTGCCGAGTCGGATGAAAAGGGTGGCGAACCAGCTCACGCAGCTGCTCCTTCCGGCGCCTTCTTGGCGCAGAAGGTGGCAATCTTAGTGAGGCAAACGCTCAACGGTGAGGTCGAAACCGGCTGCATGCAGCAGCAAATGTCATCGCACCCCTTCATCAATCCATCCCTTCCGTCCGCTCCAAGTGTTCCTTGCCGTCCGGCGTTCGGGTCATAACTCGGATCTGGCGACCGTTCGGGACGATTTTGGGCACCCCAAGAATGCTCTCGGCGAGGCGCAGCTGCTGGAAAGCATGCTGAGGCTGGAGAACCACCGAGAGACGAGCAAAATGCCACGAACCTCAAGAGAGCAAACCTCGAACCTCGAACCTCCGTTCCGTCCGACCCGACTCTCCGCCTCGGCCTGCACACCTGTGAACGCTAGAAGAAGAAGAAGAAGACGAATAATAATAATCGTAATAATAGCCCGAATAGTAAGTATAACAATAAGAATACAGAAACAGCGTAAACATAACCTTGCTGAGCTCCGCGCGGGATTCTTGGATCCGTGCTGGACGCCCCCCCCTGGCGCGCACCGGCGCCGGGGACGCCACGAGGGGGGCCAGGCTCCGATACATGAGATCCACGCGGAGCTCAGAAAACTCACGTTTGCGACGTTGTTCCTTCTTCGACCTCCGCTCCTCCTCCGTCGGCGCGCGGGCTCCTTCGGCACGGCCAAGATCGTCTTCTCCCACCACTCTTTTAGCGCGTCCGCCTCCGCCGCGCGAGGAGGCCGGGTAGGAGGACGAGGGCGGGCATGGGGAGGAGAGCGAGTGGAGGAAGATGAGGGGGTGGCCGGGAAGTGACGGCGTTGAGGGAGGAGATGGCAGTTGGGAGAACAGCAGAGAGCGACAGAGAGTGAGATTGAACCCTCGTTCTGGGCCCTTCCTGGAGCCACTCGCTCCACTCATGCGTCGATGCTGCGTCGAACGTCAGTCGAGCTGAGTCGAACTCGAATAGAGCTTGGTTCGAACTTGAGTCGAGCTAGAATCGAATTATAATCGAACTGCAACAAACTCGAATTGACATGGAATTGAACAACTCCGTTAGGTATGTTAGGTGCCCCCCAAAGAAACTCCCCAGAACGAAGTAAGAGAGAAAGATCAATCACAACGTGCTACTGTGAAGCTCGAGACTGCAATCGTGGTGCTGAGATCGGACTGCACCGTGCACACGAATGCGGAGGGAGGGAGGGGGTGAAGGAGACGGGGGGGGCCAAACTGCTTTTGTCGTCATGGTGCCGGCCTCGTGCGCGGTAGCCGTATGTTACAAGGGACGTTGAACAAGCAAAGAAAGGTTGTTCTGGTCACGGCGAGCCTCGACCATGAAGAGCCTAGCCGAACTAGTCGAAGGAGCGGCACGACAACTGGGGCCCCTCCTGTGTCACACGTGATGTTGTTGGCTCAGTGGCTTGGCTGCAGAGCGGAGGCATGTGATGGAGGGACCACTGCTGGCAGAATGCCCATTGCTACGAGACAGATAATATATGCTCACGACCCGCGCGCTCTACAAACATGAGACGTCGACAAATCGTCAGAGACCTGGCGGCGGCGTGAGCCGTGTAGCAAACAAGAGATGACCGTTGTGCTCAAAGAGTAGCCGTAATATTTGTTGTGCGTCGCTGGTCGCTACCCCGAGTTCGCGAATCGGGTGCAAACATAAGTGGCAACACCATGGCACATTCTCGATGATTTCGCAGTGTGCAAGCTGTGAATCATATTGCGTGTGGTTTGATCCACGCCGACCGTTTGGACATTGAGATCACGTAGAGCGTACAACTCTTTGGTTGCACTACATCGCTGGTTCGCCATGTGGGCCATTCCACAAACTCAACATTCCAAGCAGATGTGCATACATTTGAGGGCCGACTTCTGCTTCCACGGGCCTCCGCCAACGGACCTGCCCTCGTTTTACGTCTGCTGGCTCCAGCCAGCCTCCACCGAGAGCGAGACGCGCCGCAGGCGAAGCCCGTCTGGAGTCAGCATCACACTCAGAAGTCGGATCGAATCGGAATGTGTCGGTCGGGTCGGGCCGCATGGGCACTTATCGGCAGCGACAGGATGCACTGCAGCACCCATGCGAACATCAGGACGCATCGGATCGTCGAGAACTCGGGATCGAATCGGGCTGGCTGGAATCGGCATCGAATCGGATCGAGCGGATCGAGATAGACCCTGGCGAAGCCTCCTGCACTGTCGGCATCGGCAGTCTTGGCCGCGAGATCTGCGCTCCTGGCTGCCCCCCCTCAGTCGGGAGTGAGGGTGCGGCTGAATTCGGGTCTACGTAACGAGTGACCCCAAGCAAGAGTGACATTGGTGTGGGGCTTGCCGACCGCTGCGCGCGATGCGACAGAGGCGACCTGCGTGCGTGGGTTTGGAACCCGCGCGCGCCTCGAAAGCCGTGCTCCAGAGGTCAATCCGGCGAGGCGCAGCTGCTGGAGCGTCTCATGAGGCAGGGACTCCTCCAGGAGCCGACTAAAAACCTGCCCGAGGAACTGACGAAGAACCGTAGGTCAATCTTCAATGTGAACGAGAACTGCTGCTCGTGAGAGCCCCCGTCTCATTCCGGCGAAGGGCCACTCTTACGCGGGAGCGATGGAGGGAGGCGAGGCACCCCTTCTTCCCACCCTCGCACGGAAGGAGAGACGGAGACAGGGGGAGGAGGACCACGATCAAGAGTGAGATGAGAGAACACAGAAAAGTAAAGGATGAATGAGGAGAGTGATGAGACCAAGGAGCAACAACGAGGAAGAAGGAAGAAAGATGTGATGAAACAGATGAGATGAAAAGAGGGATAACAAACTGAACGCAGGAAGCGGCATGACAAGTGAGGAGGAGGAAGAGGAGGGAAAAGTGGACATGTAAGAAGACACCCATGTAGGGCGAACTGCATCGACGACTACGTGATCTGTAATAGATGCGCGGCTCTACAACGTTGTAGCTCCAAGATAAGGCCAAGACGTGTCCAACAGAACTCCGATACATTCTCAAGATCTCTAGAGGCCAAGAATATACCCGTCGACTCCACGTAACCCCGAGAGGGCCATTGAGACGAACCCCTCAAGGATCCAGGAGGGGCCCGAGAGGGCGCCTGGCTCCAAAAGAACCGCGAGACAAGGCTGACGAAAGAACTCAGGAGATTCCAAAGATCGCCCCAACAATGCCGCACAAGAAACGCACATCGGCTATCTTACCGCGCTGCTACTCTCGCGCGCACGACTTCTACCTCAGGCCCGCGGAATGCACGGATCGAATGGGCGAACCAGTCGAATGACAGAAGCTCCGGTGACTTGCAAAACTCTGATAATCCGCCGGCCCCCTTGTGGGGCCACCAGGCTGCGAGGCGCGTGATTCGCAGTTTCCTGTACCAGTCGTAGGTTGTAGTTTCCAGTGTTACAGTTCTGCTTCTTGCTGGTTACTGTAACTAGTTGACTTCTTGCTGGTTACTGTAACTAGTTGATTGACCGCGCGAGGGGGGGGAGGCTCAAACGGGATTTTTAGCGTCTCCTGGGCGCGTTGTCTGAATTGCTGGGGGGGCTCGAAATCGACACCCCTCACGCAGATCCGCGGGGTCAGGGTCCAAAAACATAAGGGATTTGCCACATTTCTGAAATTCGGTGCCACCCCTCACGCAGATCCGCGGGGTCAGGGTCCAAAAACACAAGGGATTTGCCACATTTCTGAAATTCGGTGCCACCCCTCACGCAGATCCGCGGGGTCAGGGTCCAAAAACACAGGGATTTGCCACATTTCTGAAATTCGGTGCCACCCCTCACGCAGATCCGCGGGGTCAGGGTCCAAAAACACAGGGGATTTGCCACATTTCTGAAATTCGGTGCCACCCCTCACGCAGATCCGCGGGGTCAGGGTCCAAAAACACAGGGATTTGCCACATTTCTGAAATTCGGTGCCACCCCTCACGCAGATCCGCGGGGTCAGGGTCCAAAAACACAGGGATTTGCCACATTTCTGAAATTCGGTGCCACCCCTCACGCAGATCCGCGGGGTCAGGGTCCAAAAACACAGGGGATTTGCCACATTTCTGAAATTCGGTGCCACCCTTCACGCACATCCATCGCAAGGCGTGGTAACCCAAACTGCGAGAACTCCCTCGGCCCTTTAATCGCAAGGTGTGGTAACCAAGCCCTTAAACCATACACGTCTTACCAATCGCCAGGTGTGGTAACCCCTCTTGTGATCAGTTGGTTTTGCTGATTGCGACTCGGCTTCGCATGAAGTTTCGATACTGCTTCACGACAGCGCCAAGGCCTCATGACTTAGCTGTTCCATGGCCCATTCTCCGAGAGAGGGGGCCGGCGGCAGGGGGCGAAGCCCTTACGGATTCTCCCAAGGGTCTGCCATCTGTCCGTTTTCGGGCATGGGTGGCCCGGAGTCATCGAGACATCCGGTGTGCCCAACAGGCCGCGCTGTCACCTCACATGCCTGGATGCACAGAATGCAGGCGCGCCTCCGTCTTGACCTCCAGCGACTCCGTCTTGCCATCCTTGAGGAGCACGTTGAGGTCGGCGACGGACGCGTCCCTGCCCACCTTGAATTCCTGGGCCTCCAAGGCCGCCTTCACGCCTGTGAGCATGCCGCTCCCCCCACAGGGCAGCAGTACTTCCCATCCATTCCCACCAGGATCCCACCCATCAACATCCTCACCAAAACCACCGACGTCAGCACCATCATCATAATCCCTACTCACCGCCACCATCATCGGAAGCATCACCATCATCAGCATCGTCATCATAATCATCATAATCATCAGCATCATGATCATCATGAGCCTCATCATCATCACCACCACCATCATTATAATCAGTATCACCATCATCATTATCATCACCACCATTATCATCATCAGCACCATCATCAGTATCACCATCGTCATCATCAACAACAACAACATCGAACAAATCATCATCCTCATGCGCATCCTTATCCTCACAATAACCCTCGTCTCATCCGCATCATCATCCTCATCACAATCATCATCGTCATTACAACCAGCCTCGTCATCATCATCATCATCATCATCATCATCATCAGCAGCATCATCATCACCATTATCGCCATCATCAGCATAATCATCACCATCCATCATGATGGTCATCCTCACCATCCTCATCCTCCTTCTCGTCGTCGTCCCTCCCCCTGCTCCCCCAACCCCCTTCCGAACGCGCGTGGCAGATGTGGCGCAGCCAGGAGTTCAGACTTCGAACGATGTCTGGAGCCAGTGGAACCCCAGCAGGATGGTCCGATGAATGGGCGTCGATTGGACTCGCAGGGGTAGGTCTCCTACGTGGTCGCAACTTAGCGCGGTAGGGACTGGACTGAACGGGACTCAGGGAATCTAACCAAATTCAACATTTCGGCACGCAGCAATGCTGGGCGGGCTCTCAAGAATGGGGAGAGATCTGGCACCGTGCCTCTGGGCACGAAGTGGGCGTGTCCTCAGTTCCTTTGGCCAATCCCTGGAGCCTCAGTCCTCAGTTCTAAGGAGTCTTTCAGGGGCCCGGACCCAGAATTCCGAAGTCTCTTGGGGCTTGGCTCATGCCCCCTGGGGTTTCCAGCATCCTGTCGCAGGAATAAGTTCTCCGGCCAAAGAAGGCCCCAAGGCCCAAGAGAGCACCGAGAAACCAACATCACTGATTTTCCACAGGAGTTTGAAGGATTTGGACCTTCTCGCCTTTTCGGCTTCTCGACGCTCCAAGACCGCCTCAAGACGGCCCAAGAGGCCTTCAAAAGGGCCCTAAAGCGGCCCAAGAGGGCCCCAAGACTGCCCAAGAGGCGCCCGAGACGGCCCTAGAGGGCCCCAAAACGGCCTCCAAAGGAGCCCCAAAGAGGGAACACTACTCGAAAATCCGAGCCTTCCGCCCCAAGATGCCCCCATCAGGCCGCAAGAGGCGCCCAGGAGGCCCCAAGAAGCCCCCAAGAGGCCGCCAAGAGGCCCCCAAGATGCCCCCAAGAGGCACCAAGAGGCCCCAAAACGGCTCCCACGAGGCGTCCAAACTGCCTCCAGGAGGCCCCGAGTCCCCCCACGAGATCCCAACGAACATCCAACAGTCTTCATACCCACAACCCAGGCACGGTGGCGGGATGGGCCGAAGACCTCTTCGATCCGCCGCCCCCTGTCGATTCATCGCAAGGGTGCCTGGCGTGCTGGACCCTTTCGGGTTTGGTTTTGGTTCCTTTTCCAATAGAACTCACCCTGGCGCTTCGACTGTCCCGCCGGCCCTGCGGAAAGCCTGCAAACGACCTCAACGTCCACAACAAATCCTCCAAGACGCCTCAAGATGGCCTCCAAGATGGTCACGTTGGCCCAAGATGGCCTCCAAGATGGTCCAAGATGCCCTCCAAGTTCGCCCAAGATGGTCCAAGACGGCCTCCAAATTCGCCCAAGATGGTCCAAGACGCCCAAAAGCCCCCCCGGAGGCCTCCAAGACGGCCCAAGAGGCCTCCAAGAGGTCCTCCAGGAGGGCCCGAGGAGGCCCAGATCATTGATGGTCCTTAGATTGTTGAAGGAAGTTGGCATTCGCTTCTTCTCGGCTTTCCGACGACCCAAGACGGCCCAAGAGGCCCCCAAGATCGCCCCCACAGCGCCCAAGAGGCCTCCAAGATGGCCTCAGGACTGCCCAAGAGGCCCCAAGCAGGCACAAAGACGACCCAAGAGGCCTCCAAGACGCCCAAGATGGCCTCTAAGACGGCTCTGGAGCACCCCAAGAGGGCCACAAGTCGGCCCAGAAAGGCTCCCCGAACTGCATCCGACGGCGTCAGACGGGCCAGGAGCCAACCAAAATGGCCGAAGTTGGCTCGAAGCTGGCCCAAGACGGCCCAAGAGGCCTACAAGAGGGCCTCCAGGAAGGCTAGAAAAGGCCAGCACCACTGATTTTCCTGTCTTTGAAGAATTTGGACATTTGCTTCGTTTCGGCCTTCCGACGGCCCGATACGGCCCAAGAGCCAAAGATGGCCCAAAGATCGCCCAAGAGGCCTCCAAGATGGCCCCAGAACGGCCCTAGAGGCCCCCAAGACGGCCCCAAGAGGCCCCCAAGATGGCCCAGGAGGCCGCTTAAGACGCTCAAGATGGCCTCCAAGACGGCCCTGGAGCATTCCAAGAGGGCCCCAAGTCGGCTCAGAGAGGCCCCCCTAAACGGCTTTCGACTGCGTCGGAGGACGGGACAGGGGCCCATCAAGACGGCCGAAGATGGCTCTAACATCGCCCAAGACGGCCCAAGAGGCCTCCAAGAGGGCCTCCATGAAGGCCCGAAAAAGACAAACATTATAGATTTCCCACGAGTTTTTGAAGGATTGTGGCATGTTTTTGTTCTGCCTTCCGACGGCCCGAGACGGTCCAGGTGCCCCAAAAGATCGCCCAAGAGGCCCAAGACGGCCCCAAGAGTCCACCAAAACGGCCCAAGAGGCCTCCAAGACGCTCAAGATGACCTCCAAGACGACCCAAGAGTCCTCCTAGACGTCCTCCAAGCAGAACCGGAAGGGTCAAAATGGCCTCCAGGCGGCCAAGAGGACCTTCAAGATGTCCACGTGTTCCCCGAAGGCTTTCCAAACCGAGTCGGGGAACACATGGTCCGATAGCTTGGCTGGTCCGGCCTCAACGTTCGGCCACATAGACGCTTCCAAAAAGGCAGGGGGCGGCGGTGATTCGCCGTAGGCGTCTTCGATCCGCCGCCCCCTGTCGATTCATCACAGGGGTGCCTGGCGTGCTAGACCCTTTCGGTTTTGGTTTTGGTTCCTTTTCCTAAAGAACTCCCCCTGGGGCTTCGGCCCGTCCCGCCGGGGTCCCGGGAATGATTTCAATTGCACAAATTGTCCTTCAAGACGGCTGAAGATGGCCTCCATGATGGTCACGTTGGCCCAAGATGGCCTCCAAGATGGCCTCCGATAGCCTCCAAGTCCGCCCAAGAGAGGAGGAGATGCCTCCAAGTCTGCCCAATAAACCTCCAAGACGGCCCAAGACGGCCCAAGAGGTGCCCAAGAGGCCTCCAAGACGGCCCAAGAGGCCTCCAAGAGGTCCTCCAGGAGGGCCCTAAGAGGCCAAAATCATGATTTGTCCTTAGGTGTTCATGGTGTTTTCGTATTTGCTCCTCTTTAGCTTTCCGACGACCCAAGACGGCCCAAGAGGCCCCCAAGATCGCCCCCACAGCGCCCAAGAGGCCTCCAAGATGGCCTCAGGACTGCCCAAGAGGCACCCGAGAAGGCCCCAAGAGGGCACAAAGACGACCCAAGAGGCCTCCAAGACGCCCAAGATGGCCTCTAAGATGGCCCTGGAGCACCCCAAGAGGGACACAAGTCGGCCCAGAGAGGCCCCCCCAACGGTTTCCGGCGGCGTCAGACGGGCCAGGAGCCCACCAAGATGGCCGAAGTTGGCTCGAAGCTGGCCCAAGACGGCCCACGAGGCCTCCAAGAGGGCCTCCAGAAGGCCAGAAAAAGGCCAAACGCATTGATTACCCTTCGGTGTTTGAAAGATTTTGACATTTGCTTCTTTTCGGCCTTCCGACGACCCGAGACGGCCCAAGAGCGCCCACAGATCGCCCTAAGATCGCCGAAGAGGCCTCCAAGATGGCCCCAGAACGGCCCTAGAGGCCCCCAAGACGGCCCCAAGAGGCCCCCAAGATGGCCCAGGAGGCTTTTAAGACGCCCAAGATGGTCAAGACGGCCCTGGAACATTCCAAGAAGGCCCCAAGTCGGCCCAGAGGGGCCCCCCAAACGGCTTCCGATGGCGTCGGACGGGCCAGGGGGCCAAAAAGGCGGCCGAAGATGGCCCTAAGATGGCCCAAGACGGCCCAAGAGGCCTCCAAGAGGACCTCCAGGAAGGCCCGAAAAGATCAAAATCATTGATTTCCCACGAGCGTTTGAAGGATTGTGGCATTTGTTGTGTTTCGGCCTTCCGACGGCCCGAGCAGTCCAAGTGCCCCCAAAGATCGCCCAAGAGGCCCAAGACGGCCCCAAGAGGCCCCCAAGACGGCGCAAGAAGCCTCCAAGACGCTCAAGATGACCTCCAAGACGACCCAAGAGTCCTCCTAGACGTCCTCCAAGAAGGCCCGAAAGGGTCAAAATGGCCTCAAGACGGCCAAGATGACCTTCAAGATGCGCGCGTGTTCCCCGAAGGCTTTCCAAACCGAGTCGGGGAGCACATGGTCCGATGGCTTGGCAGGTCTGGCCTCAACGTTCGGCCACATAGGCGCTTCCAAAAAGGCAGGGGGCGGCGGTGACTCGCCGTGGGCGTCTTCGATAGAAAGGGAAACTCGGGAGAGCGCTCATGCACACCACCCTCAACCCGCCACAGTTCCAAACATGGCCAGACGCGCGAGAGATCGGCCACGTGCCATGGGCCAGACTCGGAGGACATCATCTCCACCAGGACGTGGGCACCGAGTGGGCCTTTCGAGGAAGCTAATGTTCTTCCTTGCGCCCAGCGGGGGGCCACAGAGAGTTACTGACTCAGGGAAAGAGGCATCGGCCTGGAATCGGCGATACATCGGCAACATACACCCCGTAGCGGTACACGCCCGCACGGATTTCTTGGATCGGCGCTGACCCCCCCTGGCACGCGGCGCCAGGTGGGCCCAGTGCAGATCTAAGAAATCCGCGAGGATCTTCGACAGTCTTCTGTTCATGCAGACGTTTCTTCTTCGACTTATTATCATCGTAGGCCTGCCGAACCATAGGCGGACGAGTCCCAAAATCCTTCCCCCATTCCATCTCGGATCGAACTATGATGGCCTCAAAGGCCAGGAACAAGCCTCCGGGGTCCGGAATTGGCAAACCACCTGCTCGACATGCTCCCTCTCCTCCTGGTCCCAACGTCGATCCAAGACATCCGCGCGGACCTCCGACAATTATTTTTCCTGTTCAAGGGCTATAGCACTCGGCACCACGAAGGGCCTTGTGCGGTGTCCCCCGTCGAGGGGTCGAACTCCACCAGTGAGGCCGAGGTGCAGAGCTCGCCGTTGTTTGCCATCGCCGCCTGGGCAGCCCCGCCCTTCTTCTCTGCCTCCTCCTCCTCCTCCTCCTCCTCCTCCTCCTCTTCCTCCTCCTCCTCCTCCTCCTCCTCCTACTCCTCCTCCTCCTCCTCCTCCTCCTCCTCCCCCTCCTCACCTCTACTCCTCTCTCAGGTCGGCTCACCAATTGAGCCTGTTGGGTTGGAGGTGTCAGAGATGTAGGGGTTCGGCTGCCAGCGGGCAGCTGACAGAGTGGCTTGAGACCTCGTACTTTGATCTGGCCTACGTTAACTCCAATATGTTCCAACTGTCGAGGGTGAAAAAGGTGCACCGTCAAGTTGGGTCCATCCCACGCCTTCAATGGTGTACTCTTGCTCGTTGAACATTTGGATGTGTAGCTCGTGTGGTTTTCGCGAGCGAACAACTTCGAAAACCGTCAGCCGAGCCGTGTTCCGAGCCTCTGATTGTCTCGCGTCCGAGGTATCTCGAGAGGCTCATGTCAGGGCAATGACCCAAGGACCTGGGTTCGAACTGAGCTAAGTCCTCGTTGTTCCTTTTCGTTTCGGATTCGTATCGCGAAGGGGTTCACTCACTTACTCCTCTCAACTCCTCTTCTTCCTCCGCCTCCTCCCTCCTCCTTGTCATCTTGTCCAGTGCCTCTCTGATTGCTCCTTCGCGTCTGTATCGAGCGAGCTGGATGGGACACACCTGTAATTGCAACAGGTGTTTGATTTGGGATAACCATTAACCCTCATCTTCATCAGAGCGATGCAGGTGCCAGGGAGTCGTGACATGCTGACCCTTTCGCCAAATGAGCCACCTAGTCCTCCCTCTCTCCTGATCCTCCCTCCTCCTTCTCCTCGCACCTCATCCACCTCGCCCCGCTTCTGCCCGAGCGGGCGCTCCTGAGCGGGAAGGCGGTCGTATTCCCCATGTCTTCGTCCTCCTCCTCCTCCTCCTCCTCCTCCTCCTCCTCTTCCTCCCTATTCTTCACCCTCTTTCTCCACCCCTCGGGACGACGTAAGCCTCGAGTTTGGGAAGTCGAGTTGGCCTGACTCGGGGCCGCAAGGACAAAGGCGGAACTCAGCCTGAAATGTGACGCGACCTCTCTCTGCAAACATTCAACGAAAGCTGGATAGTCAAAACTCAGACATACCATTACAATCAGTGATCGGCGACAAGCAAATCCGAAATCCGACACACTCGAGTCTAGATTCTCTCCACCCGACCTCCTTTGCTCCCTCTCTCCTTCGATACGCGAGGAGGACACACCCGCGCCGGCGGCAACCGTCGCCACCCCAGAGGGGGGCGGCGCCGACAGCCGAGAGCAGCCGCACACAACTCCGCAGCCCGGACCCCAATGGCCAGCATGGGGCAGGAGCCGCGGGGCCGCCAACCAGTTCCCGAGCCCTCATGAGGCGCCAAAGCGACCTCCCCAGGCCCCCGAGCGCCGTGCAACTGGGAGACCCCGCTGACTATGCAGCGGCTCGCCCACTGTCAGCGTCAAGGAAGCAGCTCCTGAGGGGAGTGGCTACTGGGGCCCTCCAGGGGCCCCAGGGCCGCCCAAAAACGACTCAGGACGAAGAGCCGGTCCTGGGGGGTGCCCCGGGGTCTAGGACCCGTTACCCTCAAAACATATGTTTCTTCATGGCGACTTGCCAAACAGGCATGCCCAAACGTGAGCAAACCACTTGTGCATACGCGGCTCAAAAAACTGGCACGCACACACACAAGCACACACAAGCACAGCTGCGGTGGACAGAACTGGCGGCGATTCACGCGGGAGTGATCGACCAGAGACTCGCTGACTGGGATCTCCGAGGACCTGCTCAAATCATGCTCCCCGACCGTTATTCAAATCACCTTCTCCACGACTCGATCGAACCGTGCCCAGCCTTGCCGACAAGCTCTTTCGGGGCCACACGCTATACTCGTTTTTGCGATCGTGGCCTCGCACGCGACGACGAGGCGGAGCAAGTCGATCAAGCGGCTCGGAACGAACGCGCGCGGCCGGGCCTTCAGATGCGGCGGGACCTCTTTGGATCGACCGCCCACAGGCCACCCGGGCGTCGGTGGCGAGTGACTTCAATGAGACAACGCCCCGAAGTACAGCGACAGGCCAACCGATAGCGACGAGACAACTGGAATCAACGCACGCAACGCGTAACCCGAAAGACCGACACCGCCGGCAGTGCCGACGAGGCGACTGAAGGTGGTGTCCATACACGTACACATGAGGTACCGTACCGACTCCACTCTTCTCTACCACGATGAAGGAGGAGGCATGGAGAGAGGAAGATATGGAGGGGGGTAAGGCACAGAAGCAGTCCCCCCTGCAAGGACGAGGGATCATGTCCTCCTTTCTACTCTATCGCCGCAGCTGGGGTCACAATAGAACGGTACCATACGGGGGGTGCCTGAGAGAGCAAGCTTCGGCGAATCGGAGCTGAGAGTAGGCGGAGGAGGAAGAGGACACATCCAATAGGCTTCATACCCACCACCCAGGCACGCTGGCTGGGCTTGCCGTAGGCAGTTGGATAGGAGCCTCTCATGTTATGCAATGCGAGAGGGGAAGGAATGGCAGGACGACGAGACTTCAACTCGAGAACAAGGGTGAGGAGGAGGAGGTGGACGACACAGTCAAAGACCAAAGCCGTCCATTCGGAAGGGAAGAACGACCCCCCCCAAAGCGATGTAACTCCCAAGTGAGGCGTCGCGAAGGCCGGAGATTCAGCCGCCCAAACCTGCGTCCCGGGTTTGGGCCCCGAAGCCATCTCTCCAGGGTTTGTCTGTTCGGGGTTACGACGGGTTCACGTCGCGATGACGCGGGCGCTGGCTCCTGACATCACGTTGGATCACCCAACCCTGAATGACCTCTACTTCCCGAGAGCGCAGGTCTATCGACATCGGCCGATTCTGGGCCGCTGGTGGCGCTCGACCTTTCAGCATGAAGAACACGGGTCCTGAAGGAAACGAGTCCCAAACTCTGGGCCCTGCCCCCTGGGTCTTCAGTCTGCCTGGTTTCTAAACGGTCCCCGGGCCAAGGAACCACTGAAAAACATCAGGACCCGTTCCCGTCAAGACCCGCTCGCTTCATGCCGAAAGCTTGAACACCCGTTGTGGGGCCGCCGCCTCGTCGATATGGCGCAAATCTGCCATGCGTAAGTGCCCAGACACCCGACGATGTGATTTTTAGACGCGTGTTGATAATGGTTCCGACCCCTTCCCCAGGGGGGTAATTTTTGGCCCCAGATCAATGTGTGATGGTCCCTGTGCCGAAATCTGGCACAAATGCCCAGATTGAAACATATCTCATCGTCTGATATCTGGCGGTGAGGCCGCGGCCGTGTCAACACGGCGCGAATATGCCGTGTCGACGCGGCGGCGGTAACCCCCATTCCAGTGTCGGCGGGCTCTGACACCAGGGAAGCCTTCCTCACGAGCACCCTCCAGAAGACGCTGACGACAGGCATGGCGACGATGATGTCGACGACGGCGAAGGTGACGACGACGAGGACCATGAATGACAGCGACTGAGGGGAGAATACGGTACCGACCAGGGTCGCATACTGACCAGAATTTCGAGGCGAATCCAGCCGCGGCGAAGAGGGAGGGGTAGCCGTATCCACATGTTTCATCTTGTTAACGACGACGAGAACAACGACGGCGCGGACGAGGCGGCCCGTGCTCTGCAGCGCAACCCACCGGGGATCGCCCAGGCGGTGCCAGCGGCCGCGGCGGGATGCGTGGCGGACACGCCGTCCAGCAGGACCTTGTTGAGGCCGCTCACCTGTGGGGCCACGGGGCCCCCCGTCCCCTGGCAGGTGCGGCGGAGCCCTCAGACTGTCCGCGTCGTGACCAAATCCACGGCGGGAGTGTTCCTGGCCGTTCTCGGCCTCCCGAGGGCCTCACGGGCACCCAGGACCGTCAGGAAACAAATCGGGATGGACAGGTCGATCCTGGGAAACAGGTCCAGACATCTGGGGGACCACGCTGTGAAAAGATCACGACACCCGAATTCTGGGAACGGGGTTGGAGGGGGAGGCGGAGATCATACGGGAGTATACCGATGGGAGCGCAATGCCCCTCCCCCCACACTGCACTTCCGCCACGCCGCTGGATGGCCACCCTGGGATCCCGAGGCGTGCTCGGCACTCCCCGCCACGCCTGCTCGCACAGCCTGGTGAGAGGGGGGAGACGGAGAAGAGGAAGGAACTGAGCTGCGGGCCAGGGCGCAATGCAGCCTGGACCGAGGGCGGATAACAAAGCGAGCCTATGCCTCCTGGCCTTGCTCCTCTAGCGGCTCTCGAATGCTAGGAATAGCAGCATTGACGGGCTGAGCCAGATGGCGAGACCAAGAGAAAATCGGCTCAGGGTCGCGCCGCATCGCCGGTGCATTGGCGATGCAATGCGATCCTCCGCCCTCACTCACTCTGGCCTCTGGCCCCGTGTGAGAAGCCTGGAACGCGAGGGGGGAGATTCCTGTGGGTGGGTTCTCAGCGGCGACGACGAGCACCCCCGCCACCCAAGGCTGTTGGACATCCCATGACAGTGGAAGTGGCCATGGCTGAATCGAGCCCGAAACAGTTGGGATGATGACGGCTGGAGAAAGCGGCCGGGGCTGGGAGGAGTGGAAGTGCTGGCGCTAGGCCAGTTTCTCTGTGGGTGACGACGAGCACCCCCGCCACCCAGGGCAGGCGGTGGTTTGTGTGTGGGCGACTAAGGCCAGCCCCGGGCCCCGAGCGGTGGGACCACGTGGGCGATGACGACCAACCTCGCCACGGCCCTCCCAGCCAACCCCCGAGGAGAAACACAACTTGGGGAAACAGCATCGCGTTCTGAGCCTGCGGGAGCTGGAAGCTTCTGGCAGTCGATGTCGCCCCTCGGATACCCGGCCCTAGGCAGAACTGGCCGACAAGATTGAAGGACGAGGGGGCGCAGGAACCGAAGGACAGGACAACTTGTCGCGACTCCTCGCCTCGCCAGCATATTCTAGCCGCAAGTTCCCAAGCTCGTACGCCTTCTTGACAAGGGCCTTGAACATCGCCGACGAGCCAGTAAACTGCAGCCTGCGTTGGCAGGGGGCACGATAGGGAAAAAGGTGAAGGATATAGGAACACAACGGGGGAAAGTGAACAAGAGGAGCGGGGACGCGGAAGAAGGCAGGAGGATGTCAAGAGATCAATGGAAAACTGGAAATGGACGAAGTGAAGCTCACAGAAAAGATGCAAGTACTGCCAGGTGTAGTGGAAGCCCTGTAAGCAGGAGTGGAGAGGAGGGACGCAGGATCTTGGTCTGGGTAGCGCCGTGCTGCGCTGGACCGACTGAAACAACAACATGTCCTCGCAGACCTGGTCCTGCTCCTCCTCCTCACCCTCCTCGACGGGGCCTGTCCACCCGGCGCAGCACCTCGTGCAGCACCTCTGGGTCCGCTTCGGGCGTGACCCCTGGCACCACCTCGGGCGGACGGCACATCGGGCAGGGGCAGCCCCGACAGCGGGGGACGAGGAGGAAGAACAGGAGCAAAAAACATTTGGCATCAGGGGGCGGGTTCATTCGAAACACGGGTCCTGGCCCTGGGGCTCTCTCCAGGACCAGCTCTTCATCTCGAGTCGTTTGTTGACGGCCACGAAATCCCAAGAGACCTCACCGCGCGGTGCGTCACTGTTCGGTTTTGGCGCCAAAAAGGCCCCGGTCGCCCGAGGCGTCCTGGGAGAACGACGCGAGTCCCAAAACCGTGCGGTGACCCCACATCCCCACTGACTCACCACGCGGTGTGGTCAACACGGGGGGCCCCAGAAAGTGACGAGAACGAACCGACTACGCCGTGCTGGCCGCAGCACAAAGGGAGGCTTCGGCTTCGCCTCGCACCGTGCCAAAGGCCTCCTCCTCGCCTCGCCGTTGGGTCGCGAGTGCACAAAACGACGCGGTGACCACACCCTCGGGCGAGTCGGAGGGGAGTCGGTCCAGCGCATGCTGCCTTGGGTTGCGGATCCGCGGACCTCGCGGGTGGGGGGCCAGATCCGCGCATCGGGGAGCGCACCCCCGAAACACGAAGCCACAGCGAAGCGCGCCGAGTCTGTACGGAAGCGGGGCCCGTCGCTGACCCACGCGCTTTAAACCATGCTTGCGCTTCCTCGATTCAATGTGACCGCGCGGTTTGGGCCGCGGGCCGTTCACAAACATGTTCTTGGCGACTGGGCCTCCCGAAGCCCCCAAGCGCTGCGGCGACGGACCGTGCGGTGAGGTCTTCTGAGCAACGACAGGTGGCCAACGCCAGGTGAAAAGTCTGGCCCCCATGGGGGGAGCATCGACGACTCCCAATCGCACATTCAGCGCCAGTCGTGACCTGGGCACCCTCTCCTGCCCAAGAGCGCGCGGTTTCGCAATCGAGGGCCTATCGCCGATGCACCGGCGATGTGCCGCCGAGTCCAAATCAACGTGTCCCTTTTCCCATCCCATCCCGAGCCATTCCCCCCGGTCGTTCCCCCTTACGGGGGGGACGTCATTTTGTAGAGCACACCCTTCTCAAGATGCGCTGGGGTGGTAAAGAGCGCGGCTTTTCTCAGTGCGAGAGGCCAACATGTACGCATGCCACTGACAAGTTTGGGCCAACACGGTTTCGGACCGCTCTTTGTAAACATGCGCCATGAAATAAGCACGCAAAACGAGCGGAAAAGAGGTGAGCTCATAGGCCCAAACAACAAATTAATGATGCTAGATGCCTGTAGTGCCCACTGGGACAGCACGACTGTCGGCTAGCACGGAAAACTGTACTCGAAACGCTGCCTGACCACTGCAACAGGCAACTCGCTGACAATGCTCCTCACACACAGGAGGAGAGTGTCTTAAAACCCGATGCGCTGGCCGGTCAAAGACGAATTCTAGAGAAAGGGAGAGAGGGAGAGACGGGAAGAAGAAAAACGAAAATGAAAGGAGGAATAATGGAAGGGATGGAACAAAAGAGAGGAACGGATGGATCGCCACGTCGAAGGACCTGGAGAGTACACGAACAGTCGAGTGAAGGCGTTACTGATATGTCGAAACTAGTTGGTCGTTCCCACCCTGCTGAATGCGATCGAAGCACTTGTGTTAAGAGGCCCGGGACCAAGTCCGAACAGCTGGACACATCTTACGCCCGGACGGGGATTGCTGTTCTGACGCCAGCCTGAAGGTTCCGAACTTCGGGAGTCTAATATGTGCCGCGCTCCCTTTCGTGAAGCCCGAATCGGTCGCGGTATCAACCAGCACCGCCAGATGCGGGACCCATCTGATACTGCTACCCAACCTCTTCATCACCTTCCTCACCACCGAAAAGGTCGACTACGATGCGGCGGCCTACCTTCGAACCTGTTGTCTCCTAATCGAGAGTATCGCAAATACCCCTGGCTTCCACGACGCTCGAATTCGAGAGAAGATTGCAATTCGGCCCACTGCCACGGCGAAACACATCCTGAAAGGCACCGGCGTGATCGCGCCAGGATTCGGACAGGAGGCCTCCGAAGATCCTATCTGGACGCAACATCTGCAGCCTCTCTTACTCTGCCTACGCTCTGCTTGAAGCGACGACTTCTGCCCCGGGAGTCGAAGGCACATGGCGTCTGAGCTTGGACAACGCCTGCCACGCCTGCTGCACACGACCTGGCCCACCTCCTCCCACACCTCCGCATTCACTACCGTTGCCGAAGATCTTTATCTTTGCCTCGGGGCGATACTTCCAGACCGCGATGGGCACGCTGACTGCGTCGCGAAGATGATCGACCGCCTTCGTGGCCTGCAGCAGATCTCCCGCGGCCGGATCTTGGACGGCAGAAGACCAGATCGACGCGGCCCCAAGCGCCTCCGCGCTCGTCTCCATGCCCACCCACGACAGACACACGATTGATCTGAACTGTGCACGTTCTGGGCCCAGCAAGGGAGCACTGCGGATCTTCGGGTGCGAGGAAGCTCGATCTGCGCCAAGGACTCGAGACTATACGTCTCCTGATCGACTAACGCCTGGTTTTCCAGACGACGCAATCTCCTGCCAATGTAGTCGGCTCCCTTGTCGTCCACGGGCTCAAATTTGACGCGCCCGAATCGCCATTGCAAAAAATGGCGATGCTGCCCGGCCGCGGGGGCGCGCGCCGCAATCGCCCCATCGTCTACCCCCCCTAGCTCCCGTGCCCCAGGATCCCCGCGGGGAGCTCCATCGTAAAACCAGCGCGGCTCCATCGTGTTTTTGCGGGGGCCTACTTTCTGATGTCCATCCATTAAATGATGAAGCTCTCATGCAGGTCCTGCTCGCCCTCCCTGTCACTCTCTTGCGCCAGCAGAGTCGTTGGGGGTGTCCTCGCCTGTGTCCGTCAACAGGGTGAGATTCCCGTTCCTCTCGGGAGCCTGCGACCTCTCCCAAGCCGCCTCCGGACCTGCCCCGTCGCTGCGATCTCGGGGCCCCCGCTCGCCCGCCTGGCGCCTCGCGCGCCCGCGCGGAACGCCTCCAGAATCCTCTCTCTCCCCGAGTGGGCAGTCTTCTCGCGATGGACCCCAGGTCCAGAAGCTGGTTCCGAGGCGCGGCTGCAGTGGCCGTGCCTGACAGGGCGCGGGGTCCGCGAGAGACGGGGCGCACGTCGACGTCTCGACCGAGGACAAAGGCTTCCTCGGCCGGGCGAGAGTCCGACCCGATGGGCGACGAGCTGCTCTCTGACCAGGTGGCCCCATGGCCTCGGGGTCGCCCCCCGAGACCTCTCGGGGCAAGATCCCCCCCGCCGGGGCGGCCGCGCTGGCGGAGGCGCCCGTCGAGGGGCTGAGGGGGGAGGCGCGCGGCGGGGCCGGCTCGACGCCCAGCGGTTCCGTCTCTCGGAGAGGGGCATCGACCCTAGAAGACGATTCTCTCCTTCGGTGGGGCACGCTCTTCTCCTGCGGCGGGGATCTCAACGCGCGGGCCGGGGCGCCTGCGCCCCCCGCCAAGGCGCCCAACGCCCCCGCGGCACCCGCGAAAGCATCGAGGCCCTGAAGGGGCGGCGGCGCGGGGGCCAGACCGCCCAACCAGTCGCGCCCCCCAGCGAGCAGACTGGGCCGAGCTTCCCCAGGGGAGGCAAGGGGGGCCCTCCAGCACCAACGCCCACGCCGTCGCTCCGGCGCTGTGTTGAGCCCCCCCTAATCGGCGCCCAAGCGGCAGGACGGGAAAAACAAAAACAAAAAAAAGCTTCGGCACCCCGGGACTCCGATCGACGTGCCCTTCCAGACCGGGTCGGAGGAGCACTTCCCCGCTCGGGGTCGCATCGCAGTCCGAACTGCGTTCTGGGCTTGGAGCATCGCGACGCTGGGGCCGGCCCGCTGGTCTCTGGAGCGACGGACTCTTGCGACCCGAACGCGCGCCGCGGCGCCGCGCGTAGAGCCGCTGTCCGGGAACGAGAGACATATCTTTGCTCTGGCTCCTCCCATTGGCATCCTGCGCCCACTGGCGAATGGGGCCTTTGCAGAGCTCTCGTCTCGCGCGTTCTCGGATGGCTGCTTCGCGTGCCAAGTCCGCAGCGGCGGCGTCGCAGCCCCGAGGTCCCGAAGAGGTCCGGGACACTTACTGCGGGCGCCGCATCGTCTGACGGAACATCGTCGGGCATTCAAGGGTTCTGACCCAGGGCCACGCCATAAGGAGTGCATCCCCCCCAACGTAGACACCTGTGCATAGAACTGACACTGCCGGGCGTTAGCAGCGCCGAGTCCTGAGTGGAAGCCGCCGCCTGATAGTCCGCGCCCTTCAGGCGGCAGGTCTTTCACCCGACATTCGCGCCGATCCTCCCGACCGTTCTCCCGCGGGCTATCGCTGGTCACCCCGCGCTGCGGCGCGCCGCAGCGTTCGGCCCACTCGCAGGCATTCCGCCTGGAACGCGAGGCCCCTCCAACAATTACGACCGCATTGGGAGGGGGCAAAATGGCGAATCCACGAGGGCGGGACAGCGCCGCCAAACCTCTAGCGCCGCCGACGTGCTTGGACGCTGCCTGAAAAAAGGCCCCGCGGCGCGCCTCGCTGAGAAAGCCGACCTGTCGCTCGTGCATAACGACGAAGAACGCGTCGATCCCCAAGGCCCGATTAAATTGGAACGCGCGGCACATGACCACTCGACGCCTCTCTGGAGGCCTCTGGTGGGCCTCGCAAGCCTCCGAGCGCACTCCAAAACCCCCGGCTCGATCTGGGCGGCGCGTAAAACCATCGCAAACTGATCAACCTGGGGGTGTCCTACATTCGCGTGCAACTTGTGCGCCGTCGCGCAGGCCCAAGCTGTGCCCTCCGTGGGCGGCGCGGCCTATGGCCCCGGGCCGCCCTCGGAGCGCCGCGCCCATGCCCTCGCCTTCCGTGGTAACGAAGGGCCCTCCAGCGTGGTCTTCTTCCTGGGCGCACTCTCCTCCCGGTCCTCGCCCGCGCCCTGCGCTATGTCATCTGTTGGAAACGCGGGCCGGGGCCGCCCTCCGAAATG